ATGACAAATGTGTATAGCAAAATAGTTAACTAATAGGTGGCAATGTAAATAAAAATAGCTACATAGAAATGTGTTTATAAATTTAATGTTTTTTTAAAAAGTACAAAATAAAGTTTTATGTATGCCACAAAATGATAGACAATATATATTATATGCCTAATGACTGAACAAGAACACACACACAAGAGTCAAAACTCACCACAAATGCTATCACTTTCATCTAATCCATCTCCACAATCATCTTCTCCATCACAAACCCAGTATTTAGAAATACATTTTTGTGCAGAACAAGCAAACTGATTCCAAGAGCAAGAAGAATCTAGAAAACAAACAAGAATATTTGTTTAGGTGCAAAAGAAAACAAAAATCATTTGAGACCATCTTAGGACATACCTGACAGTGAGAAATCCTTAGACTTTCCTAGAATCAAACATCTTATAATAAAACAAGCCAAATTCCTCTTCTCTATGACAGTTCTATAAAATTTTGACAACAGCTTGCACATTCTGCCTGAGTTTCCAAGTTAAACAACTACTATTCCTTCAACATGAGTCTCACAGGGCTTGACTTTAAGCTAGTTATCACGTTTGTCACTCTCCTCGGAGTATGTTCCAGTTTGTCATTTTTTTTTTGAAGTGTGGTGCACAGATATAAAATAAAAATTCCAGATGTGGTCTAGTGGTCTAGTGAGCTTTTAAAATTTTTAACAAGCAGAGAAAAAATACATCCTAGGCAAGACCACACTATGGTAGGTTGGCCAGCAGATATGTTCCCTCGGCAAAGTGTTGATTGGCTGTTTTACATTTGGCCAAAGGTATTTTTAAAGGTGAGGTGACAAGGAGGTTTTAGCTTGATGACAAGACAGTTTACTGCCTATTTTACTTAACATGTTGATGTTTTTACACATTTCCCTTGGAAACACTTGAGTTTATTATACCTGACAAATAACACCAAAATTCGTTGGCATGGTGATAGGTAATTTATCATCAAATTATGTGTTTATAATAGTTTAAAAAAAACTAATAATAAAAGTGGCAGTCGAGCCGATTCTGACTCATGGTGACTCACGTGTGTCAGAGTACAACTGTGCTCCATAGGATTTTCAATAGCTGATTTTTCAGATGTAGATTGCCAGACCATCCAGGTGCCTCTGGATGGACTCAAACCTCCACCTTGCATTCATCAGTCGAGAGTGTTAACTATTAATTGCTTGCACCAACCAGGGACTTCATTTATAATTTATTTCCAA